CACCATCTATTGTGTGCATTTTGAAGGTGGAGCAGATCGCTGAGTCTATTCTTCTACTGCATCCTCTCTGATGTTCACCTTCACCCTGTGCCAGGCGTTACTCAGGACACCCCTCAGGTTCCAGATGGGAGAAATGGTGTCCGGCTGCATGTTGTAACTGTTGTCAACCGCCTTGCAAACTATCTCCAGCTCTTGAACCTCAGGAGGAAGAGGAGCCGATACCTCCCACAGCTTCCAGGCCCATGCTCGCCCTGGTGGAGGCGAGAACTCTGGACCTTGTCCCTTCTCATTGCCCCTTAGCTGGGCCACCTGCCACGTCTTCCCTCCATCCAGAGAAACATCTACACGTACCACCTCTCTGCCCCCACCGCTCCAGGCGTAGCCCTTCACAGTCACCTCTTTAGCGCTGCGATAAACCACCGCGCCATCTGACGGCGTGGTGATCGCAGACTGAATGGGGAGCTCTTGGATGGCTGGAGCAGACCTGTAGTCCACTGTGTCCCAGTCTATCCCAGGGGAGAAGCCTTTGTAGTCGTTCTGCTGCCAGTGGCTGCTGCTCTCATCTGTGCTTACAATGATCTTTCTGAGCCATTTAACATTACGTGCACCCACCGTCCCTGGCACCACAACGCGGACAGGGAAGCCATGGTCGGCAGGAAGCTCCTCACCATTCATTTCATAAGCCAGCAGTACATCACCTTCCTCACTAACTGCCTTGTTTACAGGGATGGAAGCACCGTAGGCAGTCCCCATCACATCTTTGTCCAGTCCTTCAAATTGAACATGACGAGCCCACTGAGCCACATCCGACCCATAGCCGGCTGCCAGCAGCACATCCCGGAGTTTAGCACCGCTCCACGTGGCGTTACCAATCGCAGCAAGGCCCCAGTTCAGTCCTTTCACCTGCTTGACCTTATTCATCTCAGACCGGCGATTGCCCGCACACTGCAGTGTGGCAGTGACAGTGTGCTTGGGGAATTTTGTTTTCAGCTCTTCTAAAGACAGCTTCAGCACTCCTCCAGGCAGTCCCTCCACGACAAGCTGATAAGAAGCTGGATCTACCTGAGGCACTGGCAGGTGGTTTCTTTTGAAGAAGAAGGCAGAGGGGGTGATGTAGCTGTCAGTGAGGATTTCAGGTGGCGGCTCAGCATTGAAGGGCTTGAGGCTATTGGTGTGCAGCATGGGGTGACGCTTTGGGTCCAAAGCGTAGGGGTCAGATGACTCAACAGTCTGCTGCTTCTTCAGGTCGTCTGCACTCAGCTCACCAACCTGACCAATGAACCAAAGACACAAAACTTTTATTAGATCACATGGGGCCAACCACAGCACAGCTGAACTTTTCATGGCCTACATGAAAATCAAAAGCTGAAGGACAAAAAGAAGAAGAAGAAAAAAAAAAAATCACATTCATTTAAGGATCAATTCAACTGGCATCCACTGTTAAACACCTGAAATAAAAACTAGATCCAATTTTGCAACATCAGATGGTCATACAGGTTGTAAACTGTTTCGCAAGATTAACCTCTTAAAACTACAGCAGGTACAAGCACAGAAGGCTGTAAACTGTGATGCATTTTATAAAAACAGGTTGGGCAATAATGGGTTTTTTTTAAACAAGTTTGCTTTCAACACATCTGACTTTCCCTGATTTCTTACCCTGTTTGAGTTGTTTTAAGCCACATGTACATCACTGAGCTCCAAGGGCTCAGTGGCTATTTCTGAATATTAAAATGTCATGAGGAGTGAACTTTACCTTCAAAACTAATATTTTTATTCTAGATTTCTTTTCTGTTTTCCAGCCACAAGCAGAAGATAAAGCTATAGGGCTTTGCAATGTGAAGCTGCACTCCAGGTATGTTAATGTCTGGGAAGGCTGGCACTTTGACTTATAGGCCTGCAGAATGTTTCCACTGCCAATGTCTACACAGGGGCTTAGACACACTGGCTATACTGTTTGGTGCTTGTAGCCAAATCTTGCCTCAACTTTGTGCTGGGTGCCCTGTTTGATGGAACTTCTTCCAACCACAAGACCATCTGCTGAAAACACATGTTTTGTTTAAGGGGCTCCATTGTTAAGTTTCCACCAGTGGTGTGGGCTTCATGGTAAATACTCAGTTTTTGTTTCTAAATAAACGTAACACACCAGCACTTACTACACTTTAATTTTTCTGTTTTATTCATGGTTTTAGAGGATAACTTTGTGTCATTTTTTTGTAATTTGACTTTTTAGCCTGATGCAAAATGAGGGTAAATCCTCACATCTGTTCATTTGGTTAAGAGTGTTCCTACCTTGTATTCTGAGAGGATGTCCAGCACGTGTTTCTCATTGTGTACAGCATACAGTGCCCAAAAAGGTTCAAGAGCTCCACCTGCCGCCAGCATGATTTTATCCCCACCAGGGTGCATGGCGACAAACTCAGTGATATCATAGACGCCGCCTCTGTAAGTGACCCACACGCCATCATCCAGAGAACGGTGCTTCGTCACTTCCTCCTGGCTGAAGGTGGGAAGACTGGAGGACTTCTCTGTGGTCTGCACTCTAATGGTGTCTGCCCGCTCAGCCTGTACAGGAGAGGAGAGGCAATGTTAGGGCTTCAGTTTCTCAAAAAAAAAGACAAGACCCAAACCAGTGTCACAGTGTCAACCATCTCAAAGTGTACACGTATATACTGTAAATAAAAGTATGGTACATTTGTGACGGTTTTTCAGTCACTACTGTAAACAAAATGGAGGCCTTACATTATCTCTAATTGCTTTCATTTGTCAAGCAGCGGCAGCATGTTCCTGAGCTGTTAATCATTTTTTTTAAACTAATATTTGTGGAGGACTAAAATAAAACACAGCCGAGAGCTTGTGAAGCAAATGCCATGATTTATACAAAGACTTGAAAACAACATGCTGGAGCTTCACTGTGTTAATTATTCACACATGAACTGCACTTGTGTTTGGAAAGGTTAATGTTTTCTCACAGTACATCGGAGCTTGATGGATCATTTATCCTCATTTACAATAGCTGATAATAGATGAAAATTATGTTTGCTCACACTGAGGTGCAACAATTCAAGTTCTGCTTTTGAATTAGGCTTTGTATTTCTTCTAATTTATTTCATGACAACTGACATGACGACCTGACTGGAATCCTTCTAAAACAGTTCCTTATTTTCAGCAGTCTGAAACATCATAATCGGTTTCTTGAATTTCTCCAGACGGAACCTCTGGTAACTTTTCTTCCCTCCTCATGGTCAGTTCAAGCTATACAGGCGTGTTGAGTTGTATGAAATGCGGGAACAAACGCTGACAAATGAGCTGGCAGAGTGAACCAGCAGTATGACAGGCTATGTAAAAGGCCATGACAAAGCGTGACTAAGAGGGAACACTGCAAACTCTTCCCTTAATTTGGAACTGAAATCATTTGAAAGTGTCTTTCCTGATCTTGTCTCCTTCTAACCTTGTGGTGGTGCAGGCCATAAGCCAGTACAGCCCCCGCACCAGCCAGCAGTCCTGCCAGGGCATTTCTCCAGCTGGGACTGTGGCCACGCTGGTACGATCTCTGGTCGTCACGGCTGCTGCTCCATAGACGAACTGCGGACGATGCGGCTGCAGGTGCTACCTGAAGCCTATGAAAGGGAAAAACAGAGAAAATCAAATTAATCTGCGAAAACACAGCTTGACTTGCCCTTCATTAAACTGAGACCTTTGACTGGGTGGAGCTCAGACCGGACAGGCCAAGTACACGTCATAAAACTCCAGGTGTAATACCATCTATTATGTTACAGTACTATACCTTTGTGTGTTGAGAGGGCCAAGTCGAGTCAGGCTGTGGACACGTCTGACAAGCAGCATTGCACTGATGTTCTGCGGAGAAATTTAGTTGAGAAAAGAAAAGTAGTTTCACAGTGGTACAACACACCACACACCACAAAGACAGCTTGGATTTAGCCTCGTTTAATTTGAGGAAATTCAATAACGCAGTGAAATGCAACCTGCTGAGTTCAAATGATTTGTTTTCCATTTACCAAGCAGCCTGAATCAACACGACTCTGTTCTACATCTATCTTGAAGTGCTTCGACTTTTCAGAGCAGCAGTAATTTTATCTCATACTGGTCACGGATCAGCAAACGCCCTCATATTTCAAATTCCTATTTTTGTTCCCCTCACTGATTTTAGGTTGAAGAAGTGAGCTTTATGGGCAGCAGTGGATGCTGCAGCCTGGACTTATTTTGCCCTGGGAATTGGTTCTCAAGTTATACAAGCTGCCCTACCTTTACACGGCTTTAGTTCTGAAATCTTTGTCAATATTCAACAGGATCTTTGGGATGAAAGCACTGATCATTCCCCAAGCGGCTGACAGTGATCTTTTTTCGGCTCATCAAACCTGCTCAGTCTTTACAGCCAGTGTGCATTCTCCTACACATGGCCAGTTGAGCCATTAAACCCCTGTACTCCTGCAAAGTTCAGCCTTCAAAAGGAGCCAACCAGCTGAGAGGGAGTGAACAAGGAAGACTGAGCGCCAGTGCGCTCTTTTTTTCCACCACAGAACTCCATTACCGTAAACTGTTTGTCCCAGCATGCAATAAAGACACTAACTAAAATTTATGTCTACAAAAGAACTTTGTCTTCTTCCATTTACAATGTCGACATTTTAACAATAAAAAGTTATGACTCAGTAACAGTGTAATTCCAGCCTGATCCCAGGAACACACCAGCCTTTAAGCTTTAGAAAAACATCTTTATGAGGACAATCTATGACTTAATAACTATTGGTGCATCAGGCAAAAATCAGGAGCGCAAACGTGACCTAAAAACAGTGTAAAGGAACTCTCAAATGCAAGCTGCATGGTCACCAAAAAGCATCACTTACATGGCACTCATAAAATGACAGGTAGCATGCAGAGCAGCTCTGCTTTATTTACTTACACATATCTTATCAGTGTCAATGGTGGCCCTTAAGATTACTCTGGGTTATCAGGAAGCAAGGCTATAAGCAGCTACAAGAGCACTGCCTATATTCCAAGAGTTTAGAGGTAAAGCTTTTCTCTCCTCCTGTTTTGAGTCTAGCTAACAAAGTGACATTTGAGACTTTTTAACAGGTAAATGACTGAATACAGAAGCCTACAACAACTGTAGGTCAATCCGAGAATATGTCTGGATAAGCAGGACAAGTTATCACTTAGGATAAGATGCCAAAATGACATTTCAATGACATAAATCTTTAAATATATTCAAGCTGTTCTATACAATTGTAATAATGTGTTGACAAAACACAGTTAATAACCTGAAACACACTTCAAACAACGATTCAGTACCATAATACCCCCAGGTCCTGGTACAGGCTCCCTACACTTTACCCACCGCAGCCTATGTGAACCCGAGTTTTTACAGGGGGGACACAAAACTGTGTGTAGCAGCCCGAAAGCTCCGTGTGAACACGTCTACTGAAATCACTCCTAAAAATAAGCGTCTTCACCGACACATAATACGGCACCACATTGCCTTAAATAACGAAACGTTTGGCTGTTCTGCCTTAACATCTGAAGATGAAACATAAGGTGACTAACAACGTTGAAAGCGGCATTAGCTCTTCTTCGTCATCATTCTCATGGCTAACGTAGCTAACACTGAAGTTGGCCAGCGTCACCCACTCTCTCAGACATGTTCATAAACAGAAGATACGTCAGTGCTTCGGTCTTTATCTAAATCAAACTACTCACCCCTGCGGTCGTTCCCCTGCTTGTACCCAGCCGCTCTCCACGATGCATAAACAAGTTCAGCTTCACAGCTCTGGTTTCCAGTCCGAGAGGCGTTCACTGACAGCCTGTAACGTCAGCTTATCTGCCAAGTCGCATACCAGCCCATCCTCTCTTAATAGACGGGCAGGGCAAGTATCACGAAGCCCGAAATATTTGAAGTACCTTTCACGATGAAAACAAAGCGTTGTTGAGTTGTGCTTTAGTGTTTTCTTTGCAGAATAAATGATTCATTTATGGACGAACACTAGCTACTAGAAATATAGCTAACAAATAGTAAACAAAGTCTACTACGTCCCGATGAGGCACCCTTAAAAATCCTTTATTAAAACTCTTCAGCAGTTGCAAGTCATTAAGAGCGACTTTTGGGTTACCAGGTTGTTAAAAACAACTCTAGGCCACTTACAGTCATGAAAAGAGCTACAACAAAAGCCATTTATTAGCAAATCATTCAGCAGTTATTAATACCAAACTATAAAACAGCGCTGCTGGAAACCCTGGATGCACCTGAATTTACAGGGTAAACAGTGACTCACTCTGCAAAGGGGAAAGTGGGCTGAAGGTTTAAATGAATACAGAAACTTAATATATATAGTCAGCTGGTAGGGGAATATTATATTCACTATATAAACAATAAGTTGAACTGCCATCCATACTGTATCTTGGCTGCAGAGCGTGGTATATAGGAACATATCCTTCACACTCTTGAGGGATAATCTAAGACTACATGATACAAACCTCAGCTCACATCAGACAGCAACCTGAAGATACAGTAAGACAAGTACATACAACTGCAAGAAGAGTAGTCAGCAGCAGCACTTTCACAGAAGTAAAAGACTGATGTCACATATTTGACTAATATCAAGAGATGCTGACAATTATACAGACTCAGAAAACCTCTTATCTTTATATTTCACACTCAAGCCCCCAAAGGCTCTGTAACTATAGGAACATTGACATAAAATACAAATAAACTACTTAGAGAACTATTTTAACCCTAAATAACTCATCATGACAAATCTCACATTTCTGACATCAACAGCCAACATTCCTCTTCTCTTTCTATTTGAGGTGTTTGCTGCAGAAAACCTAGCATCCTGAAATGACACATCTCAGCAGAATATAGCAAAAGAAGTGTAGGTCTGGATTTCACTTTGGCGGTATGAAACACATTTGGAGTATCAGTGGAAACATAACCTGAGGTATATACTGAGTTAGGACTGAGCTGCTTTGGCAACAACCCATTCACAGGCCAGCGCTGATTGCGTTATCTCCAACACCATGTGTACATTTTTACGCAACCCGAGGGTTATGTTACAGTACATGCAGATGATATGGGCTTCTTAGTTGTCCAAGTCACTTCTATGACTGTTTAGTTTGTTCAGGATTGTCAAAATATTTTAAGCTCTGAGGGAAGGCAGAGATCTGTCAGACATATCCACTTATAAATCAAGCCAATAATCAGGTCCAACAAACTTCACACACCATAAGTAACTATTTGTTTGCTTAGGAATGTTGGTGTGTCTCTTGTGTGTAGTTTAAAGTTGGGTGCAACTTGTTAATGTAGTGGAGCTGTAAAATTAATATATAACTGCGATTTTGTAGGATCTGTGTGACTAACTGGGGTAAGTGATCAGTGTTTCAGCACAATCGGTTCATGAAGATTTACAAAACAGTCAGAACCTAAGTGCAGTGAATTGAGCGAGAGCGGAGTCTTAACACAGCTTTACTATTTTATTCATTTCTAAAATGTTCATATTAAAAAAACGGAGAGCTTGTGTAAGTTTTCCTATTTACTTTTCTGCTAGTATTTTCCTATTTCTAACTGATCAAACAAATACACTGTATATATATATAATAGTGACAGTATGGACAAAAATAATGTCCTAGTATTTAAGATCCGTGAAGGCAGATGATTCAGTGTGTTTAATTACTCTGCATTAGCTGATTGCTTACTGCAGGAGAGATGACAGAACCTCCATGGTACAGTTTTCTGCCAATATGTGAAACAGCAGACTGGACTCTAAAGAGAACATCATAACATCATGTATACAAGTTTAATATTTGGAAAAAGCTTTACTACAGAATTTAAATATCATATTCTGAAAGTTTGGATAAACAAGGCTCTACCATGAGGGTGCCTACATTACAACATGTAAAATGTCCAAACAAACAGCAAGTAAAACCTGTTACTACTTTGCTCTGAGATTCAGCTGTAGCCTGATGTTTCCGTTGTCAGTCTGATCCGTGGTAACGCTGCTGTGATTTGACCTACACAGAAAACAAACGGGTCCACTCGTCCGTCAGTGCGACTTGTCAGTTCCTCTGTTGGACAGCTGACGTTCACTGCTGCATCATCTTAGCTGCTTCAGCTTTGATTAGTGAGATGAGTTCCATGTTAATCAGGAACACAAAGCGAAGACCTGCAATCTGAAGAGGCAGTACAGTATGTTAGGGCATCATGGCTGTTTAATTTGGAACCCTATATGTGCCCTGGTGGACCCCCTCCACACACCTCCACCACTGAGTTGTTGTTGAGTTTCCACTTGTTGCCCGACAGGACCGGTCTGCCATCGATGTAGATCGGTCGCCTGCCTTCATTGGCGATGAAGAAATCTCCATTATTCTTCAGTTTAATAATTCCTGAAAACACCAAGGCACATGGTAACGATCATTTTTTAACCACATCATTATGTTTTCTGTAAGCAACATTCGGTTTAACAAATGCTGCTAGTTGAAACAATTACTAAACTTTAACATAAGAATAAAAGCAAAAAATAAAAGAAACCAGTCTGATTAAACATGACATCTTTTGTAATCATAAAGCAAAACAATCTGTGTCAAAAACTTAAATTACTTAAGTAGAAACTGTCGTGTGCACCAAAATCTTAAGTTTTTGGTATGTTACGCTGGTTTCTGTTTTACTGTTTCTCTCAGCTGCTGTCAGTAACGAACAGCAAATTATTTTTGGAACGCTGTTTTGGATGTCAGGTTACAGCATAACAGTGTAGGAGTTTCACCTTGTTTTCTTGATATTTTCCAGGCAGGCCCCTCCAGTGACAGGTCTACATCTATCTGTTTGTCCTTGGTCGCCCTGCCCAAAGTAATCTGTGAAAACATCAATAAAAATAAATAGATAAATAAAATTGGTACAGCAGTGAAAACACATCTCCAAATATGAGAAATCCATTTCACCGTTTCCTTCCATGTTCTTCTCACCAAGACATCACAGCATTGTTTCTCTGAACCAACTGGCTCTGAGAGAAGCTCACTTACCTCTCGCGACCTCATGAGGTAGCGAACCATTCGTCCCCGTAGTGCTGCCAGTGTCTGGTTGTCAAAGTCGGGCATGTTCATCCCTGGTGACACCGACACACATGAACACAAATGAGTTCCACCAAACTGGAATCCATACAACACATATGGACTACCAGTCAAACCTTTGGCTAGTTGTGTGTACATGTCACAGTCGTCTATTTGAGCTTGATGTGTGGCAGTTTACGTACCTGTGATACTATCAACAAGCACCTGCCAGCGAGGCAACTCCTGTTCTAGCTGCCTGATCTCCCTCTTCTGGTGTCGATCGGAAATCATCAGCTCTGAAAGGACGAGAAGGATCATTTACATTTTTGTTATGCAATGACATAAATGCAAAAGCAATCAAACAATAACAAAACCATAACTAAAGTGCACTGTGACTAAAGCTTTGTCATTAGGCCTATCATCTGAGCTTTGGTGTGTTAGATGAACTGAGTTCAGCTTGTTTCTTTACTGTATAAAACAAGTGATTATCAGTAAATATTGATACAGCTTTGTTTTAGCCAATCGGTTCAACAAACCGATTTGTTGGACAAACTAAACTATAAGAAAAGGTCCATATTTAAGTCACGGCACCCTTCGTTGATGAGATTCATGAGAAACTGAGACAGCTGTAGTGTTTACAGGTTATTTTCTAACCTTGCTCGTGGAATTAGCCTTCGCTGGAAATCACAGAAGTACTCTGTTGCACTGTCATTGTACTTTATGCTTGTTTATGCTTACTTTAAGGCCCAGATTTTTAATGTATTGTAGTCTAATCCATTTTTTTATTATACATTCAATCACTCACTCTACATTTCAACTTAAAAACAGCAATTATTATTATAAGATTGTCATTTCGAATTGCTTAATATTTTAGTGATATTGTACAGGGGTGTGCTCAGATCTGTTGTATACTGATTTCTTACCATGTTCCAAAACTTCATCTCTGCTCTCCCTGTGGGAGAAGCAACACCAGAAAACTGATCAGCACTGAAAATTCATACAACATTTTAGTGAGAAGATGGAAAATTATTTCTTTGTTATCCTTTGGTATACACAAACTCTTATCATCAGCAAAACATAGGATAAATACTGCACAGTGAAAGACTGTCTTACCTTAACTTTACATCATCAACCATCTGCTCAGCATCAGAGAAGTTGAGGACTTGGTCACCCTTAGGGAGAGGCTGGACTGCAACATACAATCAAAACCAACAACAGCATTACACAGAAAACTCATCACATAGTTTCAGAATACCAACACCTTGTTTAAGACTTTTAAACAATGACATTATTCAGTAAACTGTATAATCATTTCCACTGTACCTGACTTGTTACAGATGCCAGGATGCTGCATTTCACCCAATAACACCTGATTATTGCCTGATAACAGTCTGGTTTTTACTGGATATCCAGATTTTTATTAATAATAATTTCAAAAAGACAAAACGGATTATAAATTACCAAAATAACGGTAATAAAATTAGGAGTAAACTGACAACTATTAGATTCAAAGATTCAAGATTCAAAGTATTTATTGTCATATGCACAGTAAGGAAACATGTTTCCCTGCACAATGAAATTCTTCTTTTGCTGTCCACAATGAATGCCAAACAATATAGAATATAAATATAAAATAAAAATAGATAAATAGTAATACAAAATAAAGGCACTTTAACCCTGTAAAGCCCAACATACCAAAAAATAGCCAGAACATTCTAATTTTTTGGAACTGAGATGTTTATTAAACCTTTTAACAAAATCCAAAATATAATTCATGATTTGAAATTCAAGATTCATGATTTTTATTTGCCATATATGCATAGACATACAGTCCTGGCATATGGGAATAGAGGTGCCATATTATTTAGATTATTTCTATTTCTTTTGTATCACATTTGATAAATGGGGCATTTTTGGTGATTTTATTCTGCTCAGAAACCTCACGTATCAAATATGATACAAATGGTTTTATAGGGTTAAAAACAGCAAGTGAAAAATACAATAAGAATATATGCTTGGTTCCTCATGGCAGGCACACTTACACTTACACTGCAGATACAGCACTGGGGACACACAGTGCCTATAAAAAGTATTCACCCCCTTGGATGTTTTACCCTTTTATTGATTTTATAAATCAATTATGGTCAATATAATTTGGCTTTTTTAACAGAAAACATCCAAGGTGTTGAATAGCCATCCCTGGTAGGCTAGTGGTCAATTAAATTAAAATATGTAATGTGAAATAAGTGACTGCATAAATATTCACCCCCTTTAAAATGACTGACCTAATTCAACTGAGGTCCAGCCAACTGGTGCTAGTAGTCTCACAATTAGTGAAATGGGGATCACCAGGGTGCAGTGAATGGGTCTCAAGTTTGTCTGGAAGGTCCAGTCACTGGTTAATCAGTATTCCTGGCTACCATTACACCATGAAGACAAAAGAACACTCCAGCAACTCAGAGCAAAGGTTATTGAAAAGTATAAGTCAGGAGATAAATACAAACAATTTCCAAGGCACTGAACAATCCATCATCAAAAAATGGAAGAAAGATGGCACATGTCTAAATCTGCCTAGATCAGGCCGTCCTCACAAACTGAGTGAGCGTGCAAGAAGGAGACTAATGAGAGAGGCCATCAAGACACCTATGACTACTCTGAAGGAGTTGCAAGCTTCAGCTGCTGAGATGGGAGAGACTCTGCATACAACAACTGTTGCCCGGGTTCCAGTCAATCAAAGCTTTATGGGAGAGCGGCAAAGATAAAGCCACTGTTGAAGAAAACTCCTATTAAATCTCTACTAGAGTTTGCCAAAAAGGCATGTGGGAGACTCCATGGTCAAATGGAAGAAAGTTTTTTGGTCTGAAGAGACCAAAATGGTGCTTTTTGGCCATCAGACACAATGTTTGGTGGACACGAAACACTGCACATCACAACAAATACACCATCCCCACTGTGAAGCATGGTGGTGGCAGCATCACGCATGCTTCTCGGCAGCCGGCCCTGGAAGGCTTGTAAAGGTAGAGGGTAAAATGAACGCGGCAAAATAAAGGAAAATCCTGGAGGACAATCTTATTCAGTCTGCAAGAGAACCACGGCTTGAGAGAAGATCTGTTTTCCAGCAAGACAATGACTCGAAGCATACAACAAAAGCTATACAGAAATGGTTTAAAGACAACAAGGTGAGTGTTCTGGAGTGGCTGAGTCAAAGCCCAGACCTCAATCCAATAGAGAATTTGCTGGACTTGAAAAGGGCTGTTCATGCCAGATGCCCGTGCAACCTGGCAGAGCTTGAGCAGTTTTGCATAGAAGAATGGAGTAAAATTGCAGTTTCCAGATGTGCAAGCCTGATTGAGACCTATCCACACAGACTCAGTGCTGTGATTGCAGCCAAAGGTGCATCTACTAAATACTGACTTGAAGGGGGTGAATATTTATGCAATCACTTATTTCACATTACATATTTTTATGTAATTAACATTACTTTGTAGAAACCTGTCTTCACTTTGACATTAAAAAGGTTTTTTGTAAAAAAAAAAAAATAAATTTTTGTCAAAAAGCCAAATTATTTAGACCATGATTGATTTATAAAATCAGTAAAAAGGTAAACAGGGTAAAACATCCAAGGGGGTGAATACTTTTTACAGGCACTGTATTTACTAAGGTTCTGTGGCTCAGTCAATGTGTCATTAATCTCTGTAACTATAACAATACACTGTTTAGGTTCACATAATCTGTTGCAACTCTATTTTGCTGTAAGTCTAACCTGCTCAGATGACTATTATTTGTCCTAGTGTTCCCTCTAACTAGGTACATATGCAGAAGAGTCTGACTCACCCACACTTCATTTTGTGATGCTGGGCTTTCCTAAAACATGTGACTGCATGTCGTCAGCTGTTAAAACGTTTATTTACAGACAAAATGTCAGTGTTAAGTGTCAATTACAGTCAAAGATTGTGACTTCATTTCAAATCTTGAGTAAGCACACTGCAGTTTGCTTAAGTGACATCTACTGCTCAGTTTTTGTTTTTTCCATATTTTGACGTGCATCCGAGTACAAACAGCATTGGTTGTATTTGTGTATTTGTCCAGATAAATTACTAAATGTACTGGTGTCTGAAGGGGCCATACAAACATAATTATGTAGGCAAGTCAACTCACCACTCTGGTCATCCAGTAGGTAGTACTGCTTTAGTAGCTGCCAATGCACCAGCAGGCTCTTGGGAGTACGAGATGGGTGAAAGACACTGGGGTGTTTGCTCAGTAGCTCCTGGAACACGTCCAATTTGGGCTGACTGGTCTGTTCAGTGACAAATGTGATGCAGAGCCACTCGTGAGTATAACAATCAAGTGTGTAAATTAAAAAGGTTTACTATATGCCATGGGTTGGGAAAAAACAGTTCAACACCTAATCTTCAAAGAACCACTGCACAGCATACATATCATATTTAGTTCTCCACATTAACTGGTAAACTGTAACTGATTTGGAATTTTTACATTTTATGTCCCAAATAATAAATATGAAAAGTTATTAAAAGAAAAAAAGTACATTGTGCTGAGTGAATTCTTTACGGTAATTTATTCAGTGAAAAGATTTCTGGCCTAAACTTGTTCTATATTTTACTGAAATAAAATTATCCTGAATACTCCATTTCACTTACTGAACCAATTTTGGCCAGCAGCGCTTCTTCAGTCTGACTGAAGAGAGCTTTGCTTTGGATGGCTGCAATGGCTTCTGGGTGAAGTTGTCGCATGGCCTGCCATGCCAGCCTAAACAGCCAGACAACAGAGAGAATGTGATGAAAGGAAATTAAAGAATAAGGATGTTAACAAATATTGAAATATAGAAACTTTGACAGGGAGGTAAAATTGCTGCCTGCTTACTTTGAGATGACAGGATCGTAGAGCAGAGCGTACCACCTCTCTTTGATTTCCCGCAAAGTGAAACGACAGCTGAACTTGACCCCCAGATGAACAGAGGTTAGGTCTGTGGTCTAAATACATAAAGACACAAGATCGGTGGGGTGCATGTCCCATACTGCTGTCTCATCAACTAAACAGATTATTAACAAACTAGTTAGATTAATTCCTAAACAATATTCTTTTTTTTAATGAACAATGGCCCTAATTTTTGCACTACTCACCTGCAGCACTGCGTTTATAAGCAACAGGTCATCTGTGGGTTTCCACCGGCCCAGGTCTTTAGTGATATGTAGAGGCTGCTTGCTTTTCTTCACTCTTTTGGTGATAGGTGCTGGGTTTATTACCATGGCGATAGGTGGTGTCAGAGTGGTTCCTGACTTTGTCACCTAACAAAGCACATTGAAGGAACAAAAATTATCCATTAAACCTATGCAGGCTCTACCTCTGACATGGCTTCTCAAGGCAATCTGTGAATTTATGGTCATACGTACCTTTTTTTTCTCACTAGATGAAGGTTCACTCCCTGAACAGCGAATAGGCTCTGTGACAGGGGGGCCTTTGACTCTACTGGAAGACTTCACAAGACTGCTTTCCACCAGCTCATCATCAAACTTCTTCCTTTTTATTGACCTAGGGACAGTATTTTGTCAACATTTATAGAGCTATTCTGAAACCGATACATTTCCCTATTCTATTTATTATTATAATTATAATAATAATTTTTATTACTAGCAAACCTATGCTACTGTACAGCTAGATTGGCAGTGCAAAATACAGGGAAATATGTCCAACCTGGAGGAGCTTCTACGTTTGGGAACATTGCCAAAAGCTTGTGTTGCTGTCCTTTTCAAATCTTTTACTCCAAGTGACTCTTCATCCTCTGAGCGACTCTGAGCACCAGCTACTGCCAAGGATGCACCAACCACAGGGTCACCAGCTTGCATCTGTCCAGTCACAACATGGTGAGACACATACAAGGAAATAATTCAGGTATTTCTCATCTCAGAGTAGCAGGACTTATTCTTTCTGTGGCTCACATTGTGAACCTTTAATTTCACTAAACAGAGTTCTGTTGTCCAAGGAACATAATATTTACTCAGGTTGAACATAATTATTACAATCTAAATATAGTTTAATACATTTGAAAGAGTAGCGTAGATTTGTATAATCGTGGTTAAGCAGGAAGTATGAGGACTATGAGCATCTCACTTTGGCATGCGGTTTTTAGTGCTAATGAGTACAGTAAGAATAACCTGGAAAGCGCAGTCTGTGTTTACCATGTTTAACCATTAAGGATAATGTTATTACTTGATAGCCAACATATCTATGGGAGCATGACGTTTCAGCTATAGATGAAGAAACATAACTGAAAAAATTACAAGCACCGCCTACGTCTCAGAGTAACTAGTAGCATAAAACTATGTTTTGTTTAGCACAGGAGTCAAACAACGGGAATGGCTAACTGTTACACATGTTACTCAATGACACCTTTTGTTTACATCTAGGTTAACGTTAGCCACGGGGCCTCTCTGTTTCCATCAATATATGACATTTACAATGACAATTATAACGTTAGCTTACCCAGGCAATATGGTACTACAGTCTATTTTCTTAGCCACACAATTTGACCCAAAAAACGCTGATTATTTTGGCTAGCTGGCATTAGCTTAACTCACAACGTTGTATAGTAGCCAGCTTTAGCTGCTAGTTAACGTAAGCAGCGAGCTAACACAACTAGCTACCTAGTCTCGTGTCTCACCTTTCCTTGCTATTTATTTCCGTTGTGGTATATGATCCGTTAACCGGAGACTATATAGCCTACTATGCCTTTTATCAACACTTTGTTAGCGAGCTACATGGTTAACTGGTGATGTCAATTCTACGTATGCCTGTTAGCGTTAGCATCTCTACTAGTCCAACTGTTTTCTTCCTGCGACGGTCTATCGCAGTTGACAAACAGCTTTTAATTGCAATACCGCCCCCCGCTGGGCTGGAGTGTAGGCCTACATTATATTTAGAGGTGCTCTATATTTTTGTCCTCCCCAGCTACATACATAAGAGGGCCAGAATATTAGGAACACGTCTGGATATAATGTAGTCCAGTACAACACGACCCTTAACTATGGCCTCAGTAATAAACATATAACTGAATTTATACATTTATGACAATTTCATCAAAAACTGAAACATTTTGAGCTTCATAAACACAGATGTTAAGGCAGAAGTGTTGCATTGAATTGCACACAATTGTACAGTATTTTAAACTGAGCTTGTTCTTTTTGGGCAATTGTGCTTTATTTTCTGACAATCTTAAAAACACTTAGTTATTTTGTTGTGGGTGTTATGGGCACCTAACTGGTACAACTTCAATAGTTTTACTACTGTTACAACAGTCACTCCTTGTCATGGTGTCATCACTTCCTTCCTGCATGATACTTCTATTATTGCTGCTCCTACTAGTGTTTACTTACTTGTGGCCCCATGTATTTTTAACTACCAATAAAATGCATTGCTATATAAATTAAAATAAATAGATCAATATGTAGAATTTATTGATTTAAATATCAGCTCACTGTCTCTCCACTTATTTTTCAATAATCCAAGAACCACCTCCAGCATGATAAAACAGTCATTTGCAATATCACAGTTTAATGCATTTACTTAAAACTGTATCGCCATATGCCAACAGGAATCTAAAACCTTTCCAACATAGTTCCATGCTACTTAATTTTGTCTTTGCAGGTCCAATACATGGTAGCAAAGGCAGCATTGTATCAACTGTATCAGTGCTAGCAGTGTTTCTCCCATGGTCTATTTCTCCACAGTTAAATGTTGATCATATATAGTTGTTGCCTTCTCGCTCCCTCCATATCAAATTTCAAGTAACCATAGTGCACACATCTAATACACAAGTGTGAATGCTCAGTCTGGCATCACCATATCTTAAGCCACTTATTTGGTCCAAATTATTGACCCACAGCCCCTCCTTGAACCGCCACCTTATTGTGGTGGAGGGGTTTGAGTACCCGACTGATCCTAGGAGCTATGTTGTCGGGGGCTATATGTCCCTGGTAGGGTCTCCCAAGGCAAACAGGTCCTGGGTGACGGGTCAGACTAAGAGCAGTTCAAAAGCCCTTTATGAATAGATTAAAATCAAGGACCGTGACGTCGCCCGGCATGGCGCAGCCGGGGCCCCACCCTGGAGCAAGGCCCAGGGTTGGGGCTCAAATGCGAGCACCTGGTGGCTGGGCCTCCCCTCACGGGGCCCGGCCGGGCTTAGCCCAAA